GTTCCTGCAAGATGAAGGCATTGAAGCTATGGACTGGCCCGCCCGTTCCCCAGGCCTGAATCTGACTGAGCACATCTGGGACATCATGTCTCGCTCCATCCACCAACGTCACGTTGCACCACAGACTGTCCAGGAGTTGGCGGATGCTTTAGTCCAGGTCTGGGAGGAGATCCCTCAGGAGACCATCCGCCACCTCATCAGGAGCATGCCCAGGAGCTGTAGGGAGGTCATACAGGCACGTGGAGGCCACACACAATACTGAGCCTCATTTTGACTTGTTTTAAGGACATTACATCAAAGTTGGATCAGCCTGTAGTGTGTTTTGCCACTTTAATTTTGTGTGTGACTCCAAATCCAGGCCTCCATTGGTTAATAAATTTGATTTCCATTGATGATTTTTGTGTGATTTTGTTGTCAGCACATTCAACTTTGTACAGAACAAAGTATTCAATGAGAATATTTCATTCATTCAGATCTAGGATGTGTTATTTGAGTGTTCCCTTTATTTTTTTGAGCAGTGTATGAACAGCCTTCTCATCGAAATGCATTGTCATAATCTGTTATGCAATACAGCAAATTAACAGTAACAAATGAGTCACATTCAGCAATTAGGAACATCAGATGAGTCAGTTAGTCTGGGTATCTTATCACTGCTATAAAACATCAGGCAGATTTAATTGAATTACTGTATAAAAAAATCACAAAAGCAGCACAGTTAAAAGAGAATTCCTCAAATTTTAAAAATTCTTCCTACTTTGATCTTCGACTTTCTTCTTCTTTACAGTGGTGGTGATAGGAACCGGGGGTCGCCATGACCACAACACAAATATAGCCATTTTATTTACTATCCAAAACCACCAGTGACCCTACACGAGTCTTCTGAGTTTTATCTCGCTGTTGTTGGAACAAAACCTCATATCTCCAAACTTGTCACTTTACAAGAGATGGGAAAAACATACTTTACTTTTAATGTGAGTCAGTGGAACCAGACTTCTTTGCAAGTAATTTTGGGCTGTTTCTTTTGGTTCATTTATCATGAAATTCACACACAATGTAAAAGGTGACATGTATTTACAAATTTTGGCAAAAACTGAAAAACAAAAATGGAGATACGAGATTTTGTACCAACAGCAGTGATATGGAATGTCAATAATGGTAAAATAGTGGAAAATCTGATCTTTACAACAGATCCATCATATAGAGATTTTTAAAAATACATTTTAGGCCAAAATCTTCTCCCAAATTACCATAAAACAATGTCTCAGACATCAATGTCTCAGATATTATAATAACTCTCTGTGAAGGAGGTTTTAAAGGTGGATGTCTGGTTCCTATCACCATCACTGTGAACAATTCTGACTCTATAAGCTTCTCTAGAACGCAGTGTTTCCCACCAAACCACTCTGAATGAATCTGTTCACATTTCAGAGCTTTAATTATGCAGACATTCTGAAACATCATTGAACTTCCCCTTAATGTCTGCCCTTTGTTATAAGAAGAATTGTTTAAAAAATGGCCTGCTATTAGAGCATGTTTGAATTCTGACACAAAAAAAAATGTGCTGAAAATGAATGTGAAGCATTGCTAGTCTAATATGACATTAAATTGCCTAACATTTATTTGTCAAAACGTAAAAAAAAGGCTGTACTACAGATAAAAAGCTGCTCTATTTTAATCACTTACCATCCTGACCTCAGAGAGAAGTTCACAAATGAGAATGAACGTTTCTCATCTATCCCAGTGAAGAGAATTTCAAGGTAAATCTTGCATTCAGAGCAGGGAGTGAGTGCTGCTTCTCCATGGATTCATTTGCATCTATTTTTCAAATGAAGCGTTATCATATGTAGAGGAGTAATGTCCAAGAGACTTCTACAGTTTGCAGGAGAAAGCCCTACCGGGGTAACCTTCAAAGGGTTCTGCTATCAATAAATGGACATGCGTGTCCTGAAATATCCTTAAAAAGAAAGATTAATGGTGAAAAAAAGGAGCGGGGGTGGCATAAGAATGCAATTCGGTGCAATCTTTGCTAAATTATCTTTGCTGTGCGAATGATGAACTGGTCAGGACGCATAAGCTCGTGTGCCCTTTCTCTTATCCCTGGTCTTAAGCTAACACCTCCAGAAATGGATTTTTTCCACAATCATGTCCTTTGCTGTATGCACGGCCTATTTTACCATGCAGGCAAGAAGGCTGAGAAAGGTCAACAAGATGTGCAGTATGTTCATCTTTTGGTCCCTACTAGGAGCTTTATTATTTCAGAGATGTAAAGGTCTGACAAGTCACTGTAATGAAAATCGCACTCATTTCATAAGGTCTCCCTGGTTGATGGCAGAGGTCTCGGCGCTCTGCTGCTGACCGAGTGCTGTATGTCAGTTTGATGGGCACTTTAAGCAGTTTTATTTAAGTTCAAGCACAAGTGTTGACCAAAGGAATTTAATTGCTTTCATATACTGTCATTCACAGAATGGCCACTGCACAGCACTAAAATGATGCCCTGTTCACACTTATTGACATCTGTCTCGAGTGATCTGAGCACAAGTGAACAGTGAGTGTTGACTGGAGGACTGGAGGAAGGAGACTGGACACGGGAAGGCATTTTAAGTCAGTATATGTGACGTGATGCTAAATATGATTTACTCTTTTTCCTTTTTTAAATGAATTGTTTGGAAAGAGATGACAAAATACAGCTGTACACTGAAAATCAACACAGCGCACCAGGATGCTCTGCTCTCTATTGCTGGGTAAACTTTATGCAAATGAGCTGAGCATCAACTAATCAGACTGTTGATGCAACGCAGGAAACCACTTGTGCCATCCATAGTCAAGCTACAAGCAGGAGATGATTGCACTGGTTCAGGGGTCGCAACGCAAATGTTAAGAAGAGCCATTTTCTCCTTTCGACAATAATCAAACCACTTTGGGAGCCACAACATTTTATGTCCATTTTACCATCTTGGCTGTAAATATGTCTCAGTACGTTCTAATGTCCTAGTAAAGATACAATATAAACGAAAAGGCAGACTTACTTTGCTCTGCTTTAAGCTTTAGCTATATTTCTCACATCTCTGGCAGGAAACTTTTCCACAAAAGTAGAATAGTTTCTTGTAAAATGTCTCTCAACCTTCAAATTTTTACGAGGCTGAAGTCGCTTCTTGTTCGCCAGCTTCTTGTTTGAATTTTCCCGTTCCACCTTAAATGGTGCCTGAGGTGCCAGAATGTAACTGCTGCACCATTTAAGGTGGAACGAGAATATTCAAACAAGAAGCTGGTGATTGAAAAGCTGACTTCAGCCTCGTGACTTTTTAGTGTTTGACAGTTTCTCGTTGCAGATTAAACATATCAGGAAACCAGCTGGAGTGATTATAAATGCAAATAAGTCCATTCATCTCCAAATTGTCGATGTTCGTCTTAAATCTCTCTCTTTGCCGTTTCGTTAGCTACTAGCTAGGCGAGCCTGTTGTCTGTGTTGCTATGTGACCAGCAGTCTGCACCGATCTTCAGGGTTAAAGGGTGAATCAGCAGTTCTACATTAACTCCAGAGTTTAAGACCATTTATTGTTAAACTGTGTTGAACGATCAGCAGAGCTTTATTTTACTGTAAAGGAGGATTATTTTATGTTTTTACCTACAAATCTAATTCAGCTGTGGAGCCACACAGGACAGTAAAAGAGCCACATGTTGCCGACCCCTGCACTAGTTGAAAAACAGATGAGAGAGGGAGATAATTATGTTGGTTGAAATTGTTATGATTATAACTCTGTGAATGTCCTGGGCTCACCAGCAGGCCCAAAGTTTTATTACACATTTCTATAACCTAAGAACAGCTCAACCAGTTTGCATTGAAGTCCCTGTAGTTACTGAATAATAAGCCTTAGTATGTAATAAGACTGGGATTTTAAGGGGTTAAAACAATATAAGGCTGTATCAGGGCTCAGAACTTGCCTACAACTCTTGCTTATATTTTAGTGGCAGCACAATTAACACAGCCAAAGAGGCTAAAGTGGTGAGGGAAGTGAATCACTGCAGATTTTGGACATATAGGAATAAAACAAAAGTAAAATCCAACATTTACCTTACAAAAAGAAAAAATATATAAGTTTTGTTCTATATTGTTATTTTTCCTATACTGATTTTAGCAGTCGCAGTTTAACAATTGCGAAATCTAGGTGTTCTGCAGTGCCCTCAGCACCCCCACTTCCCACATCCCTTGGCGTCACCCACATTTAGTTGTCAATCTCTCGCTTGTTGTCAGACAAACAAGTGCTTCAGGTTCTTCCTAAAGAAAGTGTGTGGGCTGTTACTTAGCAAATCCATGTGATCTAAAGGAGAGAGGAAACTAAAGGAGCTACGCAGGTGATTAAGAGGTCCTTCACTGCTGTCAGGGTCACATTAGGATGCTTTAGTGCTCACATTATAAATATTATGTGGTCATATGCTTGACATCTCACATCTGCACCTAGCGCTGTCCACTACGGCTCTTACAGTGTCGTGATTTCACGGTCGCGGCTCGTGATTGGAGCGTTACTTCATTGTTGGCTTGTTCAAAATATCAGTTAAAATGCATTTCCATCTGTTCCCATCTACAAGTTCTAGGGCCTTAACCTTAAATGGCCAGGGCTCACCGGTAGGCCCAAAGTTTTATTACACACTTCTATAATCTAAGAATAGCTCAGCCAGTTTTCACTGAAGTCCCTCTAGTTACTGTATAATGAACCTTAGTATGTAATAAGCCTGGGTTTTTAAGGGGTTAAACAACACAGTGCCCTACAAATATCTCAGAAAAATATTGTATAACTGATAATTCTATGTATAGCAGCAATTTAAATGTGTTTGAGATAATCTTTTTGTTTCTTTTTGCAAGCTCATTCCAAACACAGTGAAATACAGTATTTTACAACTAAAAAAATAAAGAAAAATAAAGAAAATATTCAATTCAAAGAATAAAATAATGTTCAAAACTAATGTTAATACGTCAGTGTAACATGTTAAAGGCTTGTGTGAGGTGTCATTCAAGTGGTTTATTGCTCAAATTTTCATGTGTTTTTAATATCTTTGCGTATCATAAAATGGTGATATTTTTGGCCAAGTTATCTTATTATTGAAATGTCAAACCGTAACACCCCTACTGTCAACTTATGATCAGATCACCCACACAGTACACTAACGCCAGGTGTAAATGGGACCAGCCTTACAATGAAATCCTCCCACAACCAATTAATAAAGAACAGTAACATTTTGCACATGAGGTAAAGCAAAAACATTTTAAAAAACATTGTTAATTACACAGATAAACAACACTGGTATCTAAATCCACAGTCAGCATGCACCTGTCAATCTCATACTTTAGCACAACTTAGCACAATATAAAATATTGCACCTTATTAATTAATATAACAGTTGAAAAACTACCAGTTATTTCCATGTGTAGTGTAGTAAGGTTGTGGATGAACTGGGTGAGGCTGGGCGTTCACTACATAACTTTTACAATCTTAACAGATTTCTAAAACGGAGAGCATCACAAACTTAACGTCAGTTTGTCACAGAATTTCTTGTCTTTTTGTCGTGAGGCACTCAGACTAGATGAGAAGGCAAAGAGAGAGAATAACACACATAATGAGTCTGAGCTACGAATAAGAACTCAAACTCCCAGATCTCCTCAGATCACCTGACACAAATAAAGCTAAACTTACTGGACCTGTTTGTGCATTTATGTGCAGCGAAGTGCAAAAATGGGGATTAAATCGTGGTGAGAAACACTGATACAGTGAGAGCTGGAGAAGTATTTCACTACAAACTGGCAGCTGAGCTGAAACTGTTTAGAGAGTGACCTGATCTGGATCAACATTATAAGCATGACATCGGCTCTTATCTGCCTGTGTTTTACACACAGCTCCTCTGTCACGTCTCTTCACCTGTTTCTCTGCTCTTCTAGCTTTCTGATTGGCTGTTGTTGGAATCACTTGTTGAGTAAATCTCTGACCTTCTCACACTACGGATATTTTGAGTTGTAAATATTAAACACGTTAGATAATATCAGAGGAACTCTGATCACTTCAGAGTTCGATCAAAGGGCTAAAGATTCACTTCTTTCTCTTCTTATATTACCAGATCATCCACACCGTCAGTCACTTCCGATCGAGCTCCCGACCTGGAAAATCACTTCAGATTGTGAAAATTTGACGCAAGGGGCAAAAATCATGTAGTGTAGGCCCAGCCAAGGCTCAGAATCCAACTTACAGCAACATTATGTAACAACTTGAAGGTTGTTTATTTCTAGAGCCAGTGAGAAATCTCCCTGCTTTGGGTCAAAAAGTTTTAAGTGTGAGTGTGTAGTGAAGTGCCAACTTCATCAATGGCATTAGCAACTTGGAAACATCCAAGTAAGCAACTGTATTGTCTGTTAGTGGCAGGGTTGTCCGTTGTCACTTATTCTTGTTTATCAAATTTCCCATCCTTTGTATAAAACGTCCAAATTTATTGTCTTGAATTTGTGTCTGTGGAAGTATATGATTGCTCTGTTCAGTGCTCAAATTTCCTCTCGTAATGTAAGAACTTCTTTGTTTCTCTGCTGTATGACTATTTGCAGACAGAGTGGTGCCCTGGCCTGAAGAGGTACGTTTAGTCTCAAATGTGCAAAGGGGCTCAAATCTGCTGTACAATCTGTTTGGGCCAATGTGATCTCTCTGCCACTGACTTGTTCCTCGTGCTATAGCTGATCTCTCATTTGTAGCTTTTGTACAAAGCTGTCCTGATGTTTTCACGATCCCATCACCTGCTGAGGAGCTGTGGAGATCCTCTGTACCGAAACGAGGAGCAGACGACTCGCCGGAGAAGACCGCTGCGTGGTTCACATTTCCAGAGAGTCCCCCATTTGCCCTTTTCATCTTGCTGCTGTCAGTGGATTTCATAGAAATGGTTGTGCAGTCCTGCTGTGCTTTCTGCTCCCCATCTTCAGAAAGAATGGTGTCAGAACTGCCACCCACTTTAGTGCTTGAAATATTCCTTCTTTTCGGAGAGCCCTCCCTCTTTTCAGGAATGTTTAGAAGCGACTTTATTTTCTTCGTGCTCTTTTTGAAGAAACGTGGAGATGACATGCCATTAAGTTTGCTCTGTTCTTTGTCCTCCACTTCTAGAACCGTTGCCGACACGGTCCTGGAGGGAGGCTCTTGCCAAATTGTACGCGGCGGGTCTTTGCTCTCGGCCCTTTTGAAGTCATGATGAGAGACAGATCTGTGGTCCTCCTTGAGATTTTGGGAATACTCTCTGCCTCTCGAATTCTCTCCTACTGTGCTCCTCTCTGTTTGTCTTCTTGACAGAGACCCATACATGTGGCTGGAGGACTCCTTAACGTTACTGCTGTATGAGTTATATCTAGGGTCCGCCACACTGTGCCTCTTGTACAAGTTCTCTTGCTCAGGGTCCTTAGCCAGGATTCGACTTTTAGCCCTGCCGAGGCTTGCATATATTGCATCTCTTCCTGAGGTGTAGCTCATGTTGTTTCCTGAGGGGTCTAAAATCTGAATACTCCGTCTCTTGATCATGAATTCTTCACGATTGTCCGTCAACCCTGATTGATTCCACTGCGATGAGGAGTAGTACTGCGCACCAGGCCGCATCCCAAACTGGTCTTCGTGGCGTATTGAGGATGAGGACCCATTTGTGTAACTGTTGGTTTCTGGATGTTCTGGTATGGTGGACTTGAAAACCAGGGATGACCTAAGACGAGAATGCAAAGTAGGAGCAGGCTTGTTCTCCAACTCATATGGGTCCAGATAGTCATAGGACTCTCCAATGGGTACCTCACTGTTATTGAGGTAGGACTCTATCCTCCAGGTGCGCAGGAAGGATTTGGAGGCGTTTGCCAAGCTCGGTAGGTTCTGCTGCATTGAGAGAACTTGTTTGTCATGTCCGTGGTAGGATTGGCGCAAGTTAGTGTTCCTGTTCATCATGTTCAACCTGGAGCTTTCATAGGGGTTCTCCATTGTGCTTGAGTAGTGGTTCCCTCCATAACGCCTGCTTTCTTCTGCCACATTCCAGTTACTGGAGCCATGCCTGTAATAGTGAGGGATGTAAGAAGGCTCCCGTCTCTCCCCCGCATAGCTGTGCCGTTTGTTGAAATCTGTCGTTTCTTGAAGGAATCTACTTTGATGTGTAATAGGGTTGGGGAGGTCCTCCAGTGTACTCTTAAAGCCTGGTTGCCTTTCACAAGTTTGTCGGTACACTGAATCGAGTGTATGCCTTAACTGGTCACTCCTTTCAAACATTTTGGTTGGGTGACCAAGGTAGCCCTCCACTTTGCCATTTAACCTCCTTTCTGATGAGATTTCCTGAGGCTGGAATTCTTCTGGAATAGTGGAGCGGGCATAAAGAGTCCGAAACTCCTCATCATAAGACTCCACCAGCCTGCCTGTTATGACCTGAACCATACTGAGGTGGATCTTCTCAAAGGACCACATGAAACTAGAGGGAGAGAGATATCATAAGAAAAACATTAGTGTACTTTCTCCACATATTTGAATTGAACACAATTTTATGTTTCTAAGGCCCAGTCCCATTTCTTCTTTTTATCCCTACCCCTTGTTTTCGAGTGTCACCCTAACCCCTTGGAACTGAGTTACAAGGGGTAGTGGTTGAAATCTTGCCCTACGAAATGGGACCCTCAAATAAAAAAAAAAAATTCCTTCATTAACAGCTACTAGCGCTGCTCTGTAGGCAACCCGGGCCGTCGTCAGTGATAACAGAGAAGGAAAAATTCAGCTCCTCACTGCTGGGCTTTAGTTACATTTAGGGCATCATATGCCTTCAAAGAGGGGGGCAATTATTTATTATCACCCACCACTAATTCTTTGGTGATTCGAAGCTGAAGTCAGATATTCACCAGATTCTTGTTTGAATTTTCTCATTACACCTTAAATGGTGCAGCAGTTACATTCTGACGCTTCAGGCATCAGAACTGCTGGACTATTTAAGGTGGAACGGAAAAGTTAGCTAGCTAGCTACCGAGACATTAGCATGCTATTAGCGATTTTTTATGCTTGTTACGAAGAAAATGACCATAATACACTGAAACGACATTAAACTAAGATAATACAGTGGTTATCATAACTTTTTAACAGAGAAAATTCTCACATTTTTGGGTTTCTTTGGTCTCTTGTTCAGACACCTTGCCATTTTTTTTTTTCCTCATAACTCTCTGTTTGGAGTCTCTGAAAAACCTCCGTTTGGAGGGCCATGTAGCCCTAACACTTCACCCTACCCCTCTATCTCAACAAGAATCGGGACACCCTATCCCTAGACGTGAACGTGCAAAACTGAGGGCTAAGGGCTAAGTGGTAGGGGCGAGGGGTGAAGTGGGATTGGGCCTAACTTTCAGCAATTTCACAATCTCACCTGTATGATCCAAAAAACACTGTTTGGCAGTCCACTAGGAGAAACTTTTGCCCCATTCCACCGTGGAACTTGGCGCCTGACCTACAGAGGTATTCCTGGCCTTTCACAGTACGCACCCTCATGTTCTGCAGAAAAGACAATGTTTAAATTACAACAGACATGATATGAGTCAACATTGTTGACATAACATAATTTGGAGCAATATAAAGACATCATCCTGCTGTCATCCTCAAAGACTTTACAGCTACTTTGCATAGACAGAGATAAGGCTTATTCGAAGTACAAGGGTCAGGCTCCCTGTTTAAAATGGACAGACAAAGGTGTTAGTCATTTGTTGTAGGCATGTTCCACATAAATAAACTATATCTTCTGCATTTATTTTACCTATTTTAAAAATATTGACTCAAGCATATCTGTTATGTGCAAATGCAGAAATATGAATGTCATTGGCATAGAATGAATATACATGATGCGTAAGTTATTGCAAACAACTATTGTGCCCTGCTTAGCCACTATGTTTGCTGACATTGTTAGAGGAAGTCTCCTAACAACACATCATTGAAAATGTATCCTTCTTTTTTGGTCTTATGAGATCTTAGTGCACCTTTTGCTACAGTTGATCACAATTATGTGCCTCTCAGGCAAAGGTTTAGAATGGTTAAATCACAGTTCTTGTTTTCACTGTGGAATCATTCTTAAAAAAAGGAATACGAACATTTTTGTGGAGTCCCACAGAGTTCAGTCTTTGCTATTCTTTACCTTTGTATACCTCTAGGTGATGTCAACAGGAGACATGATGACATTTTCACAGCTATGCTATGATACAATTTTAGGTTTTCATTCCCTCTGGAAATGAAGACTGTTGACAGGCTTAGCAGCTGTGTGTCAGATATTTCACAGTGGACGTGACAAAATGTTCTACAAAAAACAAAAAAAAACAAAAACTGGAATACTGATCCTCTTTGCTCATATTCAGAGCTAATATTCAAGCTGCTTTAAGAGAAACTAAGCTGCTTTGCTTTGCTTACCAAACCTGAAGTGCAAAACCTGGGTGCAGCATGTCATGCTGATATTTATCTGAATCAACATTCACAGGAGTTTATAATCACAATGTGGCTATTTTTACCTCTATGTCTGTGACTGACTGAAGGAGATAAGAGATGCTAACACGGTGCTATCCCATGGTGGTATCCATAGAAATGTGTGAAAATTAACCACTCAAAATTGTTTATTAATCATGGAATTAACCAATCACATTATGCTGTGTGAAGCTCTCATGATATTTTTCTTCGCTCTGTCTTATGAGGCTTCTTGGAATTAATTATATAAGTGGGTATATGCAAAAACACATTAAGAAGTCAGTATATGGTGCATATACAGCCTACATTAGGAACATGTGGCTCTTTTACTGTCCTGTTGTGGCTCCACAGCGGAATTCGATTTGTAGGTAAAAATAAAATAATCCTCCTTTACAGTAAAATAAATGCTGATCGTTTTAACACAGTTCAACTATAAATGGTCTTAAACGCTGGAGTTAATGTAGAACTGCTAATTCACCCATTAACTCTGAAATGCAGAAAACTAGCCTAGCTAGTAGCTAACGGAAAGGCAAAGAGAGAGATTTAAGATGAACATTGATTATTTGGAGATAAATGGACTTATTTGCAATTACAAGCACTCCAGCTGGAGTCAGCTTCTCGTTCACCAGCTTCTTGTTTGAATTCTCCCATTCTACCTTAAATGGTGTAGCAGTTACATTCTGCCGCATCAGGCGCCATTTAAGGTGGAACGGAATAATTCGAACAAGAAGCTGGCGAATGAGAAGCTGGCTTCAACTATTCTACTTTTGTTTCCTGCTGGAGATGCGAGAAAAGCAGCTAAAGTTGTTCTAAACCTTAAAGCAGAGACATACATACAGCCAAGATGGTAAAATTGACATGTTGTGACTTCCAAGGTGGTTTGATTTTTGTTGTAAGGACAAAATGGCTCTTCTTAACATTTGGGTTGCTGACCTCTGCCCTACACCACTGATTTTTGCCCATAAACTGGGCATTTGGGCTCATGTGCCAGTTTTGTACATAACACATAGATTAAATATGTCTGATTTGAGACTGAAACTGCTGTAAAAAAAAAGACTTAGTGCATCAGGCCCTCAGTGGTTTCCTCAGTGAAACCTTGTGGTTTGTCTCAGCTCATGTTATGTTAATCTGTTTCTTAAGACATGTCTTAAGTATTTTATGGTCATGTCCAAACATGGACCGAACTTCCACCTTAAAAAAGTCCCACAGAGGTTAAAATGGACCAGTGTAATCTTAAACAGCCACCTTTGAAGGAGGAATGCATTTAGAAGGAGTGGTGGGAAAGTCAATTGCCTTTCAGCCCACTAGTAATTATTACAACTCCCCAGGGCAAAGCAGCAGGCACGACTGCTTCAGGCACCCAGACTGTCATGTCTAAAAGGTTGTTATCAGCGCGGCACTTCCATCTGGTCACCTAACCGGACAGGACACGTTTCCTTCGCAAGGAAACCACAAAGTGACAAAATCAGTTTGTCAGAATGCTGCTGACTTTTAACAATGAAACCGGTTTTCTGTTAAACCACTTTGAAAGAAAGAGAACCACAGGAAACAGCTGCTGCTTCTTTTGACCTTTAGCACTTGAAAGCTAAAAAGGAAAACAATAACAGCAGGACTGCAATTGATGGTACCCTAAACAGCTTAAAGTACAAAGAGTTTTCTTTACTGTTTATTTCACTGTCAAAACTAAAAGCACCTTCTCACTAAGTGAGAATTCTGATCAGGACTTATGAAATATGCAAAAATTGTGCCTGACATGAAAATACTTGCTAATTTTATGGTTCTTTGATTCTGAACGATCCTGTTTGCTAATATAAAGTCCCTTCATGCCCTCATTCTCAAAGCAGTGCATGCTGAGAGAAAAGCTCACTCACCCTGAGTTTTTGGATCTGGATGTCATGGTTTTCAGCCACAGTGAGAAAGCTTTTGAACTGATCGTGGTCCAGGAGGATGTAGACGGGAACACCTCTGACAGCCGCGTCAACCACCTCTTTAAAAATATCCACATCGGTAAACACGTCCATGGCGATTGCGATGACCTGCGTGGAGATAAACAAAAAAATGCTTCTACCTACAGACCAACACTACAATTATCAAACACATTCCGATTGGACAGGCCGTGCTGCTCTCCGTGTCCTCTCATTGAGCTGTTAATCAGTAATGGCTTGGAAAATTACTCAGAACTGAGAAAGGTAAAAGCAGACAATGAAGGGCGAGCGGCGAAATTTGTCAAATCCTTCAAGCAAATAAAAAGTGACCCTGAATATCACACAGTTTGCAAAACTGCCAAGCAGTGAGGCAAGTGTGTGGGCAGACCCCTCAGTGCAATGGAAACCGAGCTCACAGTAGCTCTGATGTTGTCAAATATATATATATACATGTGAGACTTCACAGCCAGTGTAGCCAATTTAAGATGGCGAGAAAGCTGAGGTACAGGGGATACCGGGGATTCTTGCCTTTTAAAACTAACATGCGGCTGGCTTGACTGCAAGCATTCTTCTAGTCAAGCTTCAACAAGCTCAGGATGATGAGTTAGTGATGAGTGGCAGCATGTCTTAATCACTGGCCTGTCGTGCGTTGCCTTGTACCACCACACCCCGTCAAGCAGCAATCCTCCACACAAAGCACTTCATAGAAGATATTACAAAGAAAAGTATTGTTTATTTCTCAGTAACTTCAAAACTAGATGTGCAACTGGGAATTCAACACTGAGCCGGGATGCAAGTGGTTTTATTACATGCTATTGCTGATGCTGGTGGTCCTAAATGGTTCCTGCTTGGATGTTCAGTTCATGGAAGAACTTTTAGAACAAGCGTGTCCAGTCTTATCCGCAGAGGGCAGATGCGGTTGCACGTTTTCACTCCAACAAAGCAGGAGATGACCTGATGAAATGTTTGAAGACTCAGACCAACTGATTAAACAAGTGGAATCAGGTGAGCTCCAGCTTGTTTGGAGTGAAAACATGCAGCCACGCTGGCCCTTTGCGGATAAGACTGGACACCCCTGTTACAGAACATTTACATTATGCAGAGGCGCCTTAAACTTTAAAAGCATTCATCTTTTTTTTGTGATTGAATTTTTTTTTTATTATTTCCCATTTAAAGAAAAACACACAGCCCCCCATTCCAACCCTGACCCACACACACACATGGGACTTACAAACAAGAACTGATCATAGACACAACATAGGACACGTAAAAATTGAGTTACTTCATTCACAACTTAAACATATCATATAGTTAAGTGAGCACAAGAGTCCTGACTTTAGATATTCCATTAATCCATATGTGACAAGTTTGAGAGGCAGCATTGCTAATTCTTGTAGATGATAATTGCAGATAGAAGATATCCAATAAGGAATGGAGCCGGTGACATATGGACAGGTTGTGAGGGGGTAGCCAATGCTGGACAATAACTTTTCTTGCTGCAGTTAAGCAAGCCAGCCATATTTTACAGGATCTTTCCGTTACGGGAAATTTGGAGTTATCAATAAGTAAATGAAGTTTAGGGTTCCATGGGGAAGTATGAAGAGACAGAATCAACAACCTCCTCCCAAGAAGCATAAACTTTTGAGCAGTCCCACATAAAGTGCATAATAAAAGTGTTGATCTTAAAGAACTATTCACTGAAAGGTTCTTTTGGGAACTGAATGTGGTTCTTCTATGCCATCTCTCCAAAGAACTAAAGGTCTGCAACCCATCCTGTGCCCAATGGTGCCAACAAATTCAGGTTTTAGGCTGGGTTCGGGCTGATGTTTTCACATGCAAAGTCAGGCTGAGGTTTGTTTTCTAATTTGTAGTGTAGTTTAGTTGAAGTAATCTGCTTATGTAAATTTCACATATTAATGCATTCTCTCTCTATCTCTCTCTACCATAGTCTGTATGCACGAAGAAGCCCAGCTAATGGTCTTGCTGACTGTTTACGATGGACGAAATAAAAAGAAAGCTTGCAAAAATTCCTTATGAGTCAGAGACGTCTTCATTGTGGAAACCTTGAGGAGCTTGAGACAGTATTTAGAGCTGTGAAAGCAGGAGGACTGGCCAAACGTGATCTTGTCTGGGGAGAACTGGCTTAACTTTTGGTAACACTTTACTTAAAGGGTGTCTGCATAACACTTTCATAACATCTTACACAAACACTTCACAACATGTTTGTCAATGTTTGAATCAACATTTTTAAAACGTTCATGTTTTACAAGATATTCATATGGACTACTGTGTCATCTTTCAGAGAGACATTTTCAAAAATAAAGGCTTTTATTTTGAAAGACTATTTTATTGTCAGTAAAACACCTCATTTCTGGACAGGCAAAATAAAAAAGACCTCACTTTACTCCTTTGGTCATTAAGTGTTTTTTACGGTGGCTGACAAGACCCTATTCATAGTACAATTAAAAACACTTTGCAAACTCATAAACATGCTGCAAACACAGAAAACACTTTCATCAACATGAAGACATCAGAGCTACATTTTACAAACACACTGCAAATAAAGAAAAACACTGGCAACTTCAGAAACGCTGCAAAAGCCAGTGACAACACAGCGGAAATGTTTCTGAAAGACTCAAAGGGCTCAAAGTGGATGGAATATCTGTGATGGAAAAGCACTGACAGAAGTAGATCAGACCACAGACACTCAGACCCTCACGGCCCAAGTTCATGGTTAACCTGGCTGGCTAGTTTGCTATCTGACTGTCGTAGCTGTGCTGTGGTGGTTTATCTGGTGTTGCTAGTAAAACGTTTACAGTTACTCTCTGCAGCTAATTCCCTTTTACGATGCAGTGATATTCACAATCTGCTCAAATAAAACATACTTTTACTGGTGAATGTTTGTGCTGCATAGAATTTAAAGGTCCTAATGGCTCCGTCCTCTTTGAGTCCTCCAGAAACACGCCTGCTGTGTTGTGACTGGCTTATCAGCGTTTCTGAATTTGCATGTGTTTGTGTTTGCAGCGCGTTTATGAAATGTAGCGTCGGTGTTGTCATTTTGTTTAAAGTGCTTTCTGGGTTTGCAGCCCATTTTTTTGTTTGCAGTTTGCTGGGTCTTCTCAGTCACTGTAGCTTTGACACTTGTTTTTAACTTGTTATTTGTTTTGTTTTTTTTCTTAAGCATTTGTTGCTTTGCATGTCACTTTACTATATGGACAGTAAATTACTTTTAAACATGCTGTAAACATGCCAAAATACTCATCCATTCCCTGGAGATGCTGGATAGCCACATTATTGTCAGTAGACTACTTTGCATTGCAATTTAAAGATCCACATAACACTGAAATTGAAAATCTGAGTGAAACGTGTCTAAGTGTCAAGTGAGGTCATTTTTATTTTGGCTGTCCAGACATGAGGTATTTAACTGAAAATGATATGGTTTTACAAAATAAAAAAACGAGGACTTTTAGTTTGAAAATTGTCTCTCAGTATAATATAGTAGTCCATAACAATATCATGTAAAACAAGCTTTATGAATGTTGATTTACACGTTCATGAACATGTTCTGTTTATGTACGTGTTTGTGTGGTAACACTTTCTATGAATGTCACCTTTGTAAGCATCTATAAACACATTTATAACATGTTATAATGTATTCATAAGGCATTATAAACATGGTTATAAATATTTATAAAAATGAATTACACTGAATTACACTTTATAGCCATGTTTATTATACATTATGAATTGTTGATATAATGCATTATAAATAGTGTTAATAACATGTTATAATGTCAGTGCCAAAGAAGTCAGTCCCAGCTTGGAGAGTGTAAAGTAAAGACAAATACCAAGCTAACGGTGGTGAACATTACCTTTCCCACATTGGGTAAAATACTGATGGCAGCTCTAGTTTAAACTCTGACATTTGAAGCCTGTAATGTGCTTTACTGTGTGTTTTAGTGTTTCAGTAAATCCTTCAGTAAATACTTCAACTTGAAGCCTCACTCTGAACACTGGAGGAGGCTTTAGTACAGTACACTTCACTTTACTTAGAGCGGACAAATACGACTTATGAGCTCTTATAATTTGTTATGAACAGTACTTATAATGTATTATGTTAACAATTCATAATGCATAATAAACATGGCTATAATGTATAATGCATTTTTATAAATATTTATAGCTATGTTTATGATGTCTTATGCATGCATTATAACATGTTATGAATGTGTTTATGGATGCTTACAAAGGTGACATTCATAGAAAGTGTTACCATTTGTGTAAGATGTCATGAATGTGTTATGTAGACACCCTTCAAGTAAAGTGTTATTAAACTTTTGGTGTTGGGTCACCCCTCTAAAACCCACCTTAAACTCCTCTATTCTGGAGTACAATTGTTTACACAAGCAAAACAAGCCAGCTAGTGAATCGTTATCGTTAGCTAATGAAAGTGTTTTTTACCTGTAAGAGGTAATATTTGGTTTTACAGCATATAATGTGTTCACATTATAGTCACATCTACATGCTTAATTGTAGTTTTTTTCTTTTCCCCAAGCCAACTTACAGTATATCCATGGACTAACAGCAGGTTTGTTGTCTTTCCCACCCTAAAAAAAAAAACTACGTTCCCACCCACATTTAGCCAAGAGTCCTCATTGTTGTCCCCAGATGTTCTTGTTACAAGATCATGGCCCCACATTACTACCCGTAAATGCATCAGTTCCACAGCAGTGCGAGCAAGGTTCAGGTTTCAAATTAGCCAGTACCAGTTGGGCCTGGTCAGCTTGGGTCTCGATTGGTAGTCAGGTTGGGTTCATGCCTGGGCAGACCTCTTCAAAGAGCCCTTTTTTGGTAGCTTTATTTTTTAGAGTATAGGCCTGCAACTGCAATTCTTAAAGCCTATACTGAAACTCCTTCTGACACAATGCTATAGCAACCTACACACCCTGAAAGTGGGCCAAAGTTATTCCACAAGGCTTCAGTTTTCATATTTGCATACATAACTGATAACCACAACGTCCTCTCCCTCCTAAATTGAAATGTCGCAACTGTGTCAGCATTTCTGCCACTTCAGAATGTAATTCTCATGACTCTATTAAGCTTGGCACTTT